CCCCAAAACCCCAAAACCCCGCCAGAGATTTATAAAAGATTTCAATATTTTATATAATAAAGTTAAATTTAAATGTCAAGGTTTGCTTCTGGCTTGAATCAAAATAGTCAAGGAAATGGAAATAATCTTCTGTTTTCTAAATAAAAGACCAGGCTTCATCATAAGAAAAATTCAACTATATCTGATACTGATCTAATGCAGCAAAAGAAAAATTCAATTTTAAAGCCAAGAGCATCAAACAATCATCTCTCAGTAAACTAGAATGGCAATACTAATGTAGGTCCTAAACAAACTAGATCAAGTGTCCAGGTCTAGTCTAAAAAGGACCCAACAAGTAATTTTATCATCACATTCAATGTTTTAATTTTAGTGAAAAATAGTGATAAGTAGGTTTAGAAAATGAGAACTTCAATAAATTAAAAGACAACATAGCCTTTAGAATCTCAATGAGATTAAAATCATGAAGTCAAGTACGAGGAATTGCTGGATCAAATATCTCATAGATCAATTCATAACTAATAGAAACTCACAAGTAGAGCTAAAAAATCTAAATTTTCTAAAAAAAGAAAGCAAACTGATTAAAACTCTGACGTTTCCAAACTCAAATTAGAACAAGATTAGGACATATCCTAGCAGGATTAAAGCAATTAAGAAAAGATAGAAGCTGATTAAAAGGAAGAGTAGGAGAAAGAGATTGAAGAGGAAAAGAAGAAAATTGATGAAATATTTGAAGAGGAAAGTTTTGGAGAAGAAGAATAGGATGCTGAGTTATTTGAACATAATACTGGATTAGACATTAGAGTATCAAATGAATTGTTCAATAAGATCAAGTTGGCTGAGTATGCATCTGTATTCTTTTCAACGTACGGAGTATTTTTGTCAATCTTATTGTACGAGATGAAAGATTAAGAAAATATTGAGGAATACTAGAATATGATTCTCGCCTATAACTGTATGTGCACCTCTGGATTGATATTTTCAATTTACTCTAGACATGATATCATGCTAAAGTGGTAAATATCTAGAGGACTACTTACAGAGTTTGACACTATTTCAAATACTGGTTGGTGGAAAGGAATGATTTATGAGATGGTAATCAATAGTGTAGCACCCTATCCATTTCTTTACAGAGTAAAGTATGATGAATACATTGATAATGGTTCTTTTAAGACAACTGTAACATATGATGTCAATGACTTGCTTTTATTCTTCTGCTTTATAAGAGTTTACCATGTTATTAGATATTCGTTAGTAATGACTTAATTTATGAATCCTAGATCATAGAGAGTTTGCTCTATGAATGGATGTGAAGCTAATGCAATGTTTGCTATTAAATCAATCATGAAACAAAAGCCATATACTATACTCTGGACAAGTATGGTTGTTTCTACACTTATTTTTGGATATTAACTAAGAATATTTGAAGGTCCAGTATCTGAGGCATCAGGCTAAAATTTTAAAAGTATGATTAACTCAATGTGGAATGTACTAATTACTTTAACTACTGTTGGGTATGGAGATATATACCCTAAGAGTTTAATGGGGAGAGTAGTAGGAGTCATAGTTTGCTTTTGGGGTGTTTTTATAGTTTCCTTCTTTGTGGTTACATTGAATAATATGCTAACTTTCTCTCCTAACGAGGAGAAATCATATAATTTGCTATTAAGATTATACTATAAAGAGCAACTAAAGTTAAAAGCAACTTAGGTCCTTTCAAGTGCTTTCAAGCAAAAGAATGTTAAATTCAAAGAACCAGATAACCGAAAGAAGATTCTCAGTAGTATTAGAAATTTTAGAAAATATATGATTGATTTTCAACAAACTGCAAGAACAGTAAGAAGCTTTTATGAAGCAGATACCGATGTAGAAATAATGCAGAAACTTATTGAAAATTTAATGGATGATGTTACCAGTCTAAGAGATTAATAAGATTAGATGAATGAGAGTTTATCTAAAATTGAAAAGTTTATAACATAAGAGAATACATGAATTTATTCTAATTTTATAATTATTAAAAAGGCTTATACTTTGATTTGAGGGGTTTTGGGGTTTTGGGGTTTTGGGG